TGGACGGACCAGATTATGAAGATATCAAACAAGGACCCAGACAGGCATCTGTGAGATTGATCCAAGGGTCTAGAGTTAGGGAGAAGGCTAGACAGAATGTTTTAAAGTGGACAGCTCACTGGGCATGGTGGCACATGCCTGTAATCCCAGCACTCGAGAGACTGAAGCAGGAGGATCATTGTGAGTTCAAGACCAGCCTGGGCTACAAAGTGAATTCAGGGCCAGCCTAAACTGCATAGCAAGACCCTGTCTTAAAATGACAAAAATAAATGAAGTGGACAACTCACTCATTTCTGGGTTGATTCCTTGAAGCTTGGGTTTACAATGGTTCAGTTAACTGAGACAGAAATACTATAACTTCCTTGGCTAGTAATGAGGAAGTAATCAAAAGACTGAAGAAAAAGCGAATATCAGAATGAATACCTGTGAGCTCCTACCTGTGTTTATTTCTGAGGAGGATCCAGAAGATGTTCCCTTTACTACGAAGGGCACTGATGATGTGGGCACAAATATTAGTAAAACTCTCTGCTGACTGTCTTCTTGGGCCAAGACCTATAGTGGGAGAGTACTACCCTGGAGTCCCCACTATCCACAGGAATTTGAGGGTCCTGGTAAGGTAAAGGCAGGTAGCTGTGGTTACCAAATGAGTATGGCCAAGAGGGCATTCAGTTTGCCTTGTCCCAAAGAGGACTATTATTATGACTCTAAGAGGATAGTTCTTCCTAAAAGTGAAATAAACCACCATCTAGACCAGTGATTGTCAAAGTGTGATTCAGCAGCTTTAGCACCACCTGGAAATTTGGTTGAAATAATAATTTTTAATCTTCACCCCAGTCCAACTAATGCAGACATTTGGACGTATGCATGGCCCAGTAGCCATGTTTTCACCAGATCTCTGGATGCACATCAGTGTTTCAGAACTACACCAAAGTTTAAGAACCACTGAACTCTAGCTTTTCTTGATTGATACAATCAAAACTAATAAAGAACCTATAAAAATACAGAGGAGCTAGACATTACAGTGGAAAACTGCAGGTTCTAATGACAAAATCCACATCAGTTCAAAAATCTAGAGCTCACTGAGAAGAGGGGAAGCTGGATCCTCCCCATGCCACCACACAAATAGCAAATATTTCCCTAATCCTTGTCAACTTTGCCAGTGCAATTATACACTGGAGAAAAGAAACTACCTAGATTTCTTGAGGGTGGTTAAAATGAGGTCACACCCAGCACTAACTTCAACGGATCCAAAACATCACTGTGGCCTTCAAGTGAGAAAAGAAGTCTTAGAGATGCAAGACTATGAACAAGGTTTCACTTAATTCCATCTTAAAATGGCCCCAAGACATCCTAGAACCCTGTGGTCACTCTTCTAGTCCCTGAATGCTGACTAGGGCAGATATACTCAGAAGTTGCCACTTGGTTTCTGATCTATGAATAAGGGACATTAGGATAGAAAGGACGGTGTAGCTTTTAAAAATGCAATACAATGTCCTTCCAGGCTATGATAGTAAGTCAGAAGCAATATCACCTCCCAGGAAGAGCTGCAGAAATTAGTACCAATGGAGACTTAAAAATATTCAGGTACCAGGCACAGTGGTGTGTGCCTTTAGTTCCAGCTACTTGGGAGGCTGAGGCAGGAGGATCACTTGAGCCAAGGAGCTCAAGACAGCCTATGCCTAAAAATGAAAAGCAGAGGTGAACAGTGGTTGAGGCAGTGGTTCCTCTATAGTCTTCAGTCGCTGTATCTCTCTGGTTTCTTTAGACAAAAACACCAATGCTTGTGGTGTGCATTGGTGGACTACTGTGAATTTAATCAAGAGCTGCAGCTTGTGCCAGACTTGATTTTTATTGTAGCAAATCAACCCATCCTGTGGCACAGATTGAGGATTTTGCTGAATACTTTATTCATGATTCTCATCAAGAGAAACAATCAAAAGCATTGTGCCTTTATGTTTGGAAGGTCAGCAATAATCTCCACTGCTTTGCTCTGGATCCGTGTCAATTCTCCTGTTGTCAGGATTAGTGTGTTGGTAGCAATCTTGGTCATGTTCATATTCTACAGTGCATCATGCTGGTACTCGTCTGTATTGATAGACATTTTTCTAATCAGACCGACACTGAGAATAGGTCAAGTGAATGTCCTGATAGGATGCTGACAGTTAAGGGGCCTACAACATCAGTGAAGTTTTTAGGGAGACCAGTGCTCTGGAACACACAGGGACACACCTCAGAGCAAAGTCTGAGAGTCTGACTACAGGACACTAAGTAACTGTGCAATTGGAGTTGCCCATCATGAGCTTGGAATCTCAGGAATGAAAAAGCTGAGAACAGGAACTAACTCTTGTATGAGAGAAATGATACATTTAGAAAAAGAGTTCAATAGCTCTGCATAAACCCACACACAAAAATGTGACTGACTGTCCTAGGTCTTCATGTAACCTACGTGTATCACACCAGCTCTACGTTCATACCTATGGCTTCGTAAGCAATTCCCTGTAACCAACTGACAGACAAGGGAAGACCCTGGTGATGCTGATCCAACTCTAAGACAGTTTGTGTGATATGCTGGGCCACTGTCACAATACAGCTCCTCTGAAGAGTGACCCTAAGGAATAAGCATAGCCACAAGGAGACCCTTAATTGCATTTTATAGGTAGCAACCAGTCTCTTTTGGTCAATCAAAGTAGCCCTGTTCAAGCTCAGCTCCTATTCAAAGGCTGAAAAGCAAGGGGTAGAACCATGATCTGCTCTCGCATCACGACAAATGTAACATATGTACCCTGTCCCTCTAGCTGGGCTAAAGATCTTGCTTCCTAGAAAACAAAACAAAACAAAACAAACCATCACCACCACTAACAACAAAGTGTTCCCTGGAAGTGGAAATTACAACTACTTTGAACACCTCGCACCAGCAGATAAGCAAGAAGAGAATGACTCCTCCTGGCTGGTTTATTTGGCCCAGAGGAACTGTGGTTATTGCTACCTAATGGAAGCAAAAACACATATATATGGAATACAGGACACACTATGGCACTTCTTGGTGATTCTGTGTCCACTGGGAGTTGAAAATGAGCACTCACAGCAACTGTTATCTCACAAAGGGAAACAACTTTATACCACTGTGACAAAAGACCTGAGATGAATAAGCTTATAAGGAAGAAAGGTTGATTTTGCAGTGTTGCCCAAAAGTGTGGAAAACTAGAATGGATAGCAGGTGAGGGAAAGTATGAATATCAGCTAGGAGTATGGAGCAGAAGGGACTGTAGCTTGGTTTGTTAATCTTTAGATGACACTAGCCACTACCTGAAAGGACTGGCTGTGTTCCATCTTTGAGGAAAAACTGGAAATATCTTATTTGTAGACAAGATCTATGATATAAGAGGATGCAAGAAAACCAGACTGTGGGCTGGGGATTTGGTGAAGTGGCACAGCACCTGCCTGGCAAGCATGAGGTCCTGAGTTTGATTCTTGGGAAGCCTCCTTCCCCCACAAAAAAAGGAAACTACTGATGCAGGAGATGCACTGCAGGAGACACAGGTTCTGTACCACTCCTGCTCCTGCACCTACTGGCTCCATCCCAGGCAAGGCCAACTCTGTACTGCTGTCCCTATCGCTGTTCAGTCTGTCACTACTGCTTTGGAACTCAGCAAAGGAGGCAAAGGAGGGAAGGGCAGAAAAGTCCAAACTGCAGAAAAAGGCAAGAACACCAAACCAAAGCTCCTGCACCAAGGTTATGGAACCTTATTCAGTCAGCAGTAAGGACCCACTAAAGGGTTTGAAGTGGGGAAAGTGGCTTGATCAGACTCGTGTTCAGAAGCTCTGCTTCTGGCCTCGTGCATATTGCTGCTGCTGCAGGTGACTCTTCCATCACCTGTCACTGCCCAGCCTTGAACACGTAGCCTCTAAGAAAGGAATACTGTAAAATTGCACCTCGACTCAGATTTTGCAGAGATTAGTAGCTCCCTGGACTCTCTAGCTCTTGAAATAAAAGCACCAAAAACCCGTTTAGTTTAGTATCTTGCCTGAAACCTCACTTGGTGTGAGATTCCTTGGGACTTGGTGAATTCCTTATCCATCCCCCAAACAAGTGAAATCCTGGTGACTCTACTCTGCATATCAATAAGGTTTATTGCTTTCCTTTCCTGCTGGACAATTCCCAACTGGCTGTCATGAAATTGCTCTCTCTTCTGTTCTTGTGTCCTATCAGCTAAAAAAGTTTGGGGGGACAGACACATGGACAGCTGGAAGACTGATAATCCAAAATTGGCCCAACCATTTATGTTATAACTAGATGGATTTCATTTCAAAAAATTTACATTATGTTTCCTATTCAAGGCACAATAAACAGAGGCAAATAAACAGAGGCCTAAGGATAGAACTTTAAGGGCTCGGAGGATACATAAATCTCAGGCTCACAAAAGGCATGAAAGTAGTTCTTTCTGTCTCTCTCTCTGTGTCTGTCTCTGTCTCTCTGTCTCTCTTTATCTCTCTCCTCTCGCGCTCATTCACTATGACACTTCTGACCCTATACAGCAGCCCAACATCCCTTGAAAAAGAAGGTGATACTCAACCTTGGGGAAAAGCTCAGGGAACCAGAAGCTGCTTGCTGTCCACCCCTCTTCCCCACCGCAAAGCTTCAGTCACTTTTGCCCAGTGTGTCCCCTCACGGCTCCCCATTCACCCACTACAACCACCACCACCAGGGTCGGGGCAAAGGTTATTTCTAAACTTGAAATATCAATCCTAAACACAGAGAAACTCATTACATTTGATCTTTTTTCAGGTCACCTTACAAATATGCTCTTTTTGAGTGTAATGAGCACTTCGAGGTAAATGCTGTTTAAAACCATCCTGTATAGGGACATTTTCTATTCTTCTACAAAGACATAAAAGAAAAAAGAAATTGCCCTAGTGCTTTGGGTCACCTACTCAATAGTTATCATATGGTCTTCAATTGTTAAAAATGAAAACAAGGAAACAGAAACAAAACCACCAAGTATTTAAAAATCTGCTTTAATTATATTTTCATGGATTCCAGGAAGAACATCATTGCAGTTAATGTTACAAAAAAGCAAAGAGGGACATCTGGACATGCAAGTAAAAAATGGATTCACAGTGAAAATAATGTATGTCAGTACTAAAATATAGTTACTTCATTCCCTAAAGGGAAAAGGTTTCTTCTAATCATTATCTATTCACTTGGATTTTATTATGAGAAAATATTTTCTTTTTATTCTTGAAAGCTTTAGGGGAAGCTTTCAGTTTGTGCTACTACTATTTTTAGTCTGATGGACATCCCTCGTTCTGCAAGCCATTGCTGGCTTGTCTGTGACTTGATAATCCAAAAGCATGACAAGTAGCTTGGCAACTAGGTTCTTGTTACATACAAAGCCATTAGCAAAAATATGTAACAAAATTTATGTAAAACAAACAATTTTGTCCTTATGTACAGAAGTTTGCTTTCTTCCTCACAGTTTGCTCTAAAGGGGGAGGGGAAGATGGGTCTTGGCAAGCAGCTCTTCCTGTGGACTCATTCTGGGAGGGGTAAGGGCATCTTAAAAGACAAGGTAACTACTTCAAACTTCATTTAACTGACTTATAAAGCTGCATCTGTGTTTCTTGATATAGAAGGAAAAGTGAAAACAGATGCAAATAAAGAATTCATCCCTTTGTTGTTTGCAAAGTGTCCTAATCAACTTAAAAGAGAATAAAAATGACATTTGTGACAGCAATTTGAGGACACAGTGAAAAGCATCTTCGTGACACAGTAGGAACATTGTGACCCAAGCTGCTGAGAAGTTTCACATCTAGGGCATGCATACATATCATACTGATACAGTTTACAACACCTCAAAGGAGAAAGATCGTCAGTGGGTGGGAGGGAAGTGCCATGGACTCTATATACAAACACATGAACAAAGAGAACCTAGGAATTCAAATGCAGATCAAAATACAAGTTTAAAATACATTTGAAAATCATTTCAAAGCCAAGGATCATATTTACTGACAACTGAAAACACTAACATTTGATAGAATACTTGTAAACATTGAAAATGCAACTTTATACATTTCACAGTCTCAAAAGAAAATAAATTTCTGGTTTATCATCACTGCTTGGCTCAGTCTGCAAAACAGAATTATCTGAACAAAACTGGTCAAAATAGCCATAGCGAAGGGCTGTACAGGCCCCTTCGGGGATGCCGCGGCCCTCCAGGCTGCCCGCTTTCGTGTTCCTCAGATAGCCGGCAATGTAGGAGCCAGTGGAGTGGCGGTTCACAGCCGGGGCAGGTGCTGGGGACTTGTTTCTAAGGACCACTCCTCCGCTATTGCTAGGGTTCCCCACTTTTTGCTTACTGGCTTCCTGCTTCTCTTTGGCACGACTGGCAATATTGCGCACTCTGCTTTGACTTCTGGAAGACAACTTTCTGACCAGTGCCCTGGGAAACTGACTGGCATCCTGCTTTGAATACAAGACTTGGCAGCTGTCTTCTTGCTCGAAGGACACGAGCTTCCGAAGCTGCTCAGTTAGGGCATCTAAAGGTTCCAGCGAGTTTGTTTGCACAGTGACAGCCTTCTTGTCTCTGGTACCGGCTGTAACAAAACTCTTGCTAATACATTGGTACTTGCTCTCAAAATTGCAGGCAATGTCCTCTGATGTTAAGTCCCCCAGACTTTTGGATTTGCAAGGACTTGACAGTTTCAAAGCAGGCAGAGAAGAATATGTTGACTGTGTGGGTACAGGGTCATGCACATCTTGAGCACTAGACTGCTGCGGCTCACAGATTTGGTTCATTTTTGCATCTGAATTTGAGAAATGGTTATGCACAAAGCCAGCACCCTGATAGTTTAGACAAGAAATACTCTGATTTTGAACACCTTGAATATTGTGGAATACTTCAGGGACAGAAGAGTGGAGAGTCTCTTTACAGTAGCCATTTCTCAAACTTCTTTGAAAGTGCTCTACCAAATCCTGGCTATACTTCAGCTCTAATGAAGAGGCAAGTTGACTTGTATTATCTCTCCTATATTCATAGGATGTGAGAGACAGATTTTCTGACTCCCCATCAATTTCCACAAGGCTGCTCTCTCCAGAATTTATGCCAAGAGTGGGATCATTGACTATATCTCCTAGTGTTAAGTCAGTGGAAATGGCAGGACAGTGGCTCTTTAGATCTCCCCAGGCTCCATTACTGGTCGGACTTTTTGGTAACCAGTCAGGAGAACCATTAGGGGATCTAGGCAGGTTGGCATCCATGGCTCTCATCTTGTTCTTACCAGAGAGCTCATCATCTTGTTTAGTTTTGGACATGGGAGTGCCAGCTGTTTCACAAACAACTGTGTATGTTGCAAGTTTGGTGGTCTCAGGATTCGAGGATGTGATCAGTTCCGGAGATGAACACAGGAAGGGTGCCCTCAGTTTTTCCTTGGAAAAACTATGTTTGAAGGGTGTTTTCAGGGCCATGGTAGGTAAAGGAGGATGGCCTGACATCATACTAGTGCTGTGAAGATGAGAAGCCACTGTGAGGTTAGCCTGAGTGTTGGTTTCATCAAATTGGCCAATCAATGCTGAGATGGAACTGCCCGGCTCATTCTCATTTGTTAAAATGACATTATCAATAAGACGGGAAAGCTCAGTGTCCTGCAGAATGGCAGTGGAATGTAAGTCAGGGATGTCAGCACAGAGCATGGAGACGTCTGATAAAGAAAAGGATGTTATGGCTCTGCCTGTATCTTTGTCACCTTCCAGCTTCTTGCTCTCTAGAGTGCTCTGAGAAAGGATGCTTTCTGATGACATGCTTTTCCCTTCCACAAAGCCCTGGGCAATTCCCTTTTCATTGGTTTTCACACCATGCAAATTTGGGGTTGGATCAGCGTGAGGATCACGAGCCAAAAGCCGCGTTGGGGAAAGGGATTTGTTGGGACAGTGGTTTTCACGGCGATCACTTGTCACACTGGATTTGGTTCTCCCCCCTGTAGGGCGTGGCACTCCGGACTGTTCTCCTGGGACTGACTCCTTGGCTGTGAAAACAGCAGAGCCCCCTCGGCTGGCATCTTTGTGGAGGAGAGTGCAGGAGGAGGATAACTTTTTGCTGAAATCTGGGAAATGTGGGTCTTTTACACATGCCTTCCCTTTTCTACCATCTTTCTCTTCTGCTGAATGAAACAAACAACGTTTTAGGTGACACATCACTTGACATAGGATCTGTAAACATTCAGGTTTGTCTTGAGACAGACAAATGGAGAATGTAAATCTGTTACACTGTGACAGAATATAATTATGGATTGCACTGGCTCGCAACAAACTGTCTGTATGATGAATAAATGGCAAAATATATTTATAGCAATTTCACTGAAGCTTCCCTTTGAATGTGTATTACATCAACTAAGGATGTAATAATATTCATTGTCCAAAAAATGTCAATGAGTTACTGTATTTTTACAGTGAAGATTACCTTAAGTTGTTTCCTAGTCAGATTTGTACTACACAGAAGCATGGCAATAAAAACAGAACAAGACAGCTCTGTTAAACAAAGTATTGTGGTACCTGTAAGCAAGATACTATAAGCTTTCAAAGTTATAGATGTATTAGTAAAAAAAAAAAATCAAATACCATTTTTAAAAACATTTTGGCAAAAGATTTAATTTAACCAGTTAATTTCTACAATTGAAAGGGGCAATAAATACAGTAAAGTATAAATATCCATTGTTTTAAAAATGTCAAGATAAATAATTGGTTATCAATTTTATGTCATTGCTAATACTTAATAGTTTGTTAGTCATATTTTATTACAAATATTCTATATTGCATTCTCCCCTAAAAGTGGTACAGAAAGAGAACTATGAGGCACAGAAAGAGAACTATAAAAACACACAAGTTATAGCATTTTGTGATTTCTTTTTATAGCTGAGGTAGTGCTAAGACAAAATTAAGTATTCAGTTCTTCTTAATCGTATTATTTTAATAGTCTTACAATGCTCAGTCTATAAGAAAAATAAATTTAACTTAGTATTTTCCTAACTGAAAAAATTGATGGAAATATTTAAATCTTCCAAGTTATAAAAAATCAAATAGCCTACGATGTTGCCACACAGAGACAGTCACTATAGCTTTTGCTAAAAATTATAAAATCTGTATGCTGCTTTTTCTCCACCTAACGTTTTTCTAAAATATAAGAAAAACATTGTTGTATGATTATTAATTGTTCTATGTAACCTATGTTTAATCCATAAGATGATTCATGTAACTTTCTTTAAAGGTGGGAAAGAAACATCACCTCAATATGCTTTCTAACTCACCTTAACACTATTAACATCTTAACTATATATAGCATTAGTAGTCAATTATGAATAACATACATTAAATATAGTTTTGTTTTCCCAAAGATGGACTTTAAACCAAATATTTTATCTCTAACATTGCTATCCACAACTAATTCTCCTTTTTCTGCTTCAAATAAACTACTCAAAAATTGGTTTTCCTCCTCAGAATATCTTATAATAAAAATCAACACAAGTAAAGTGGCATTTGTGAGAAAACAATCACAAAAGTAGATTAATAAAAGAGTCACTTTGCCAAAGACATCAGCCATCACATTGCACATGTTTCAGATGATTCTGATTTAATTAAAACAAATTCTACCAGAGATGTGAAATCCACAGTTTTAGCACTTAAATTACTTAGAATAGGACGGGAAATCCCAGACAAAAGCTAAGAGCTCTTTGTCACCTTTAAAGCAGACATTGCTCTTTCCTGAGTTCCTGAGACCTCAATGTGCAACGCATTCCAGTGAAGGGAAAGGACGGCAGCGCCTGGTCACTCTGCCTTTGGAGCCTGTGACAGACAGAAGCTAATACGTGCCTGCTTCCCCATCAACATTCAGAGGCCAAGGAAGTGAGCTACAGGAAAGCACTGCCTCAGCTACCTCCGGAGGAAGCAAAGACTTTTAAAGTCTTTAAAAAGTCACTTTTAAAAGTGAAAGAGGTAGTTTCCTCTTAATAATGCTTTCTTTCACCGTAGGCATTTCCAACCACGGAAGTGTGTTACATGGTGCAAAAGTAACACAACCATACTCAACCTGAGAAGAGTCCATATAACACTACTGAGTCTCAGAACAAGTATGGCACCATCACTTGGAAAACTACTATTCCTGCTTGTATTTTGCAGCCTTCAGCTCCCTGTATCCTGCATCACACGGGATAGCTGTCCTTATTGCTCACCATCAGTATCAGATGACAGTGTCATTTCAAGCTTCTAGTTGAGGAGGCAGTAGGTTTTTTGTCCCTCTCCTCCCCAAAGTGTATAATCTTATGGTGTAGAAGATTACATACAAAAAAATTTTTTTGGTATGTTTTATTTTAACTGAAGAATATCTACCATTTCATAAAGGAAATGAGGGGCCAAAATGCAGGGTGGAGAAACTCAAAGTATCTTACCCAGAGAGTTTTCTTTTCCTTCATTGTCTCTTGCCATCTCAGAAACAGGCAGTGACAAAGCCCCCAGAAGACTTTTATCAATGGGCATAGAGACAGGGCGGACTTGCAAGCTCCGTGTGGTCCTCCTCAGGATGCCATCTTGATCTCTTGTGGCCTCAGACACAGAATCCTTTATTTCTACCATCTCTTGCAAGCCCACTTTGCTCTTTTTCCTGCCTTTGGCTGGAGCACTGGCTGTGCGACGCAGAATCCTGTCTCCAATGGATCGTTTCCGTACATAATGGGAATTGTTTTCTGAAGAACTGTGCCTGGGATTCTTATTGAATAGTCCCTTCAGACCTTGGAGTTGTCTGTTCTAAAAAACACAAAAGTACGACCCACAAATTAGTTAAATGCCATCACATCAGCAATCACTTTTGAAATAACAGTTCCATGGAGAATAAATACAAAAACAAACTGTACAGCCACTGAAGCTATATTCAAAACAAGAGGACAGCGCCCAGCATGTTTGCACAGCAGCATGCACATGTATCCACCTTCTTTGTGAGGAAGGTAGCTCTCCGCCTTCCTGACCAGCCTTTCCCAGAAGCTTCCTACCCAGAGAGGACAGCGGGGAGGGAAGGCTTCCATGTTAACAAACCATTTCAACCACCTTTAAGCAACAGAGGAGTGCGTGTTTCAAAGTGCTAAGCAGAAAAAAATGGGTATGAGAAAGCATGCGCTATAACTTTTAAAACAAATATGCCAGCAAGAACAAAGCACCATGCTGAAACTACCTTTGTAGCTCCTAGAAAGTGCAAAATAGTATAACTTGGGTTGAGGATTAAAGGGCTCCACTGCAAGGAAAAAAAATAAGAGTTCGGGTTCATTCAAGAAGGTGGTATCAGGAAATAAAAGAAAAAGTAAACATATTTTTATAAACACATCCCCTCCATTTTGGTGATTTTTACTCATGTTCATTCACTGTTCCCACCACATTGTAGTATATGCCTCCCGACCTGAACACACTTGAAAGTAATAAAGAGTCTATCACCAAAATGGCATTTGTTTAGGAGAAAGGACACGAATCCTATAGAACACAGATATATATATATACATATATATATATATATATATGCACACATTTTTATACAATTCTGCATTTCACTGTTTCCCTCAAACATACTGTGTCATTAACTTGGGTTTCCTAGGATTCAAGAATCATTTTTAAATCATTTATATTTGGGTCTATTTGGGACAATAAGAAGATCACAAGAAGCAGAAGGTACAGCAACCCAAGAATAAATGTAGGAAGCCATAGCATAAAAGTTTACTCTCAGGAATAAAGATCCTCTGTTGACTGAGATGAAGATAAACATATGCCCCCTAATTGAATTGTGGTCATAATAATCTCGATACTAGTCCACATTTGGGGCATTTACCACATGTACCGTAACTTTTTACGCATAACATAAATCTATTTATTAATGAGGTAAGCACTGTTTTTACTTCACATTCACACATGAAGAGGCAAAGGCCCTGCGAATGTGTAACCCTCTGCAGGAGAAGCTACAGGCTGCACCGACTTCCTGGTAAAGACCAGTGCAGGACACTCCTAAGCCCTATTCAGTGCTCTTAACAGTCCCTCCAAATCATATCTGGCCTTGCAAATTCATACCAGTGTCCAAGTCTCTCATCACAGACAGGACCAGATGAGCACCAACTGACTTTTAAACCTCAGTTCTACAATGAAGAGGACAGCAACAAGGGAGAACTAGAACACATTTTTGTGGTTTCTCTGTTCTAAATTCCGAGGGTAGTTTTAAATTCATTCACAATTCTTAGGTTTAGAGTTAACAATCATGTCATATGCATGTGTCCTGTCTACAACTAACTGGGACCACAGCCCAGTAGTCAGGCAACTCACCAAACATCAGAGATACTACATTTCCCATTGCAGCCAACTGGGGTGTTTTTAAGGAGTAAAATAAAGCTCAGCTTAACTATACCTTCAGTCACCTTCGTGAAACAAATGGTTGCCTAAGAATGTAGGTTTCTCCACTCTGTTAAGCCCTTGAAGGGTCCCGGGGTGTGAAGAATGAGGCATGCAAAGGGCACAGGGGGATGGGAATGTGGGTTGGCTTGCTGGACTGAACTATGGTTCTCTAGCAAAGAAAGATTTGTTAAAATGCACTTTCCTTTTACACATTGGTCAGTCAGTAACTTTGTTAGGGACCGTATTCTGGTTCGAGTGGCTTTAGGCCCTAGAATCTTTCTTACCTTTCCATAGATTTCATTAATTGTTATGTGGACGAATATGGATGCTTCTGTGAGTCCTTCCAAATAGACATGCCGGTAGCCTGATAGAAATAGAGAAACTGGTTTATTTTTCATTGAATTTGCATTTACACTCTTTGGATGCAACTGGGTTTAGTATGTAAGTTAACTGTAGTTCTTTACATTTTAAAGAGCACATTAACCATCACATTTATCAAATGACACATATTTTATATAATATACATGCTATATAACTTGTAAAGCACAAGTCATATGTTAAATCTTCCAAAAACAGAATGGTTCACTGGTGAGAAAAGATCAGTTCACACCTACCAGGCACTAAGCTGCTAAAGGTCACAGTCCTCTGTCCAACAAAGTCTCTTCCAATGGGATCATGATCCCACACAAGGAACCGAACCAAAGCTATTTCCGGCATGTGTACTGTAAATGTCAGGGTTTCTTCCCACACAGGGTTAAATCCTCAGAGAAATAGGAAAATGAAAGTCAGAAAAGCAAAGGGCTTGGATAGAAATGAGCTGACAATAATGTCTGCAAAGTGGACAGTAAAAACTGCCTGTGGAAGTTATTAAACTCATACAGATGACCAAGCCACTGCAGGATGCCTTACTGAAATAAAGCCTTAGAATTTACACCATTGTTAGAAAACAATTGGCAAGAAAATTGCCTGGAAATTATCACATCAATTCTGCCCATCTTTAATGCTCAACTGTATTGTAGAGGAAGCTCTTTAATATTCAGAATGCTTCAGTAAGTTCAAAAATTATCTCATAAGGGCTTGGGGATGTAACTCATTGGTAGAACACTTGCCTAGAATATATAACACTCTGGGTTTGCTCCTCAACACCACAAAAAATAAAATATAAAATAAATTCTTACAAAGGTGATCTAAGAATATTTTAGCAAAAACAGTAAAGAATGTAACTCCCAAAGGAATTATGCTTTTACTCCCCCCACCCCCCCGCCAAAGATACTGGCACTCTGATTTTATCTGAGGTGTTTTGCACATTTCAACACTGTTGTATCCTATTGGACTTTTACATCAATCTTAAGCACTTCAGGGCAGGATTTATTACTGACTTTCAAAAATATGCATAACTTTCAAAATTATAAAAGTAACATATGCTTATGTTTGGAATAGTAGAAAATATAAATATTCATAATTCATTTCATAGCTAAGAAAATTTATGGGTCAGAGAAATTAATCTGTCTAAGGTTGAAAAGTTAATGACAGAACCAAATTAAACTGTAAGCTACTGATTTCTGGTTGCTTCTCATGAAGCAACAACTTACATTATTACATTTGTACACCTATCAGAAAGGAATAAAGAAAATACACAATGCAATTCAGATACTGCTATGTTTTGTCCGTAGGAGTTCATAAGTGCGAAGCTTGAGCCCCAGTGTGACCATGTTAAGAGATGGGGCATTCTGGGAAGCCATCAGGTCAATGAGGGTGCTGTCCTGGAAACCACTGATGAGTTCTCAGGGGACCTCAGTTTTATAATCCCTCTTAGAAAGGAGTTATAAAAGAGCAAGCCTGACCCCATCCTGCTCTTTCTGGCTTCCTGTGTTGTCACAAGATGTCTCTCTCTCATATATCGTCCCACATGATACCACGTATCATGAGGGGATGCAGCCTGGGAAGCTCTTGCCAGAACCAGTGCCATACTGTTTGGGCTTCCAGCCTCCAAAACAGTGAATCAGACAAACCTCTTAACACAGTAATGTGCTTCAGGTATTTAGTTGTAGCAATGGAAACACACTAGGACAAATACTGAAAGGTAAACTTACATCCATTTATTAGCAAAATTCTCAAAGATAAAATAATGAGAAAAGTTGGTATGAACTTAAGTATTCCATAAGTTTCTTTTTTTCCCTTTTCTAAAAATTGAAAACAAGTTTTATTACTTGTCTGCATTCCAGACTACATTGCTCTATTAAAAAATCTCAACTTAACATAATAATTATAGGTTGAAAATTTCCCTCTTGTATAAGAGATTATCTTTTTGTTAATTTAGAAATTATCTCTGAATTAATCTGTGACTAATAAAAGAAAGAACAATTTATTAGGCAGTGGTGGAAAAAAAACAATAGAAAAGTTGCTTTCATCTTGCACATTGTAAATGAAAAGTTCTGCCCACCTCCTGAAGTCCATCTTAGAAGGACTCACTGTGAACCACTAATTCTCAAAGGTTTGAAGATTGTGGCTGAAAATTACTTAGAATGTTAATGATTACAGATTGAGAAAAATAGGTATGTGATTATTTCCCCAATGAATGAACAAACAAATTTTAGATTACCAAGAGTAAGACACAAGGCTTGGGTAAACAAAGCTACTTTTATATTGTAAGGAGAATATAGCCCACTTACCAAAAGTGTAGTCAAGAAGTAAACTTGCCAGAGTGCACTGTGCTCACCTTTAGAGTTTTACGTGTTACAGAAAGAACAAAAAATTAACCTGAATATTAGATCTCACAAATGAGAGCTATGAGGGATCTCTTGTCATAAGAACACTACAGAAATCTACTACAAGGTGTTTTCCTAAGCAAATTTTTAATCTTCTCCAGAATATCATTTATTCTTTTTAGTAGAAAAAATTAGTAAGACTCTTGAAAGCTGAGACTATAAAATCATCAAAAAATATATATTAACCCAAGTTTTATGTGTTGAAAAGATCTTCACATAACCTCAGGTAGTAGCTATGGATTTCAGGGATGCATTTTTTCTTTTCAGTGCAAATTCTAGCTCCATAACTCCTGAGTAAGAGTAGACACAGGTTATCATCTTACCATTGTCATCCACCACACGAGTTTGATCTTTGCAACAATCCACTGGCAACCCGATAATTTCAACTTCAACGAAAGGATCAATGATCTGTACAAAGAGAAAGTATTGTTACAAATGATATATGGCTGTATAAATGTTAATTATTTTAAGGATATTGACCAAAACGTCCACATTTTAACAGCAACTGATTTCACTAAATGCTTTCTGAGCGAGATGAGCAGAAGCAGGTATGTGAGATGGGGATAAGAGGAAGGCTGCTAAATGTTTACTTGTCAATATCTGCTAGTAATACACAAATGTTACTGAATTAGTCCACAATTTCTTCTCAGGATGTGCGCCTAACAGCAATGAGAAGTTTGACCACCCACAAATTCTTAGAGAAACTGTATTCATAATAGTTGCCTAAATGTCCATTGTAAGTCAGATAGTAAAATAGACAATGAAATGAACAATAAAAAAGAACAAAGTTCTTTGACATAAATGATGTTGATCAAGCCAGGCATATCTGGCTCTTACTGTTAGAGTACATTTTCATAAAACTCTGAGAACAGACAAAGTTGCTCTGTTGTGGTAGGGGCTGTGTTTGCTGTTGGGTCCGGGGGAACAGATCCTGAGGGAGCCAATGGAGCCATCTGGGGTTCTGAAGATACTCTGTCCTGATCTGATGGCATAGAAGTGAGGTAAGCTATTCATATTTTGACACTGACTGGATGTTAGAGTGTAAATCTATAAATACGAAAAGGTAAAATTATGAAAAGTCAATTTAAAATATATATGATGGTTTTGTTTGTTTCTTTTTTGCTTATTTTTTGCAGTAGTAGGGGCTGAACCCAGAGCCTTTGCACTGAGCTACGTACTCAGCCCTTTTTAAATTTTATGACCAGGGTCTTCTTAAGTCATTAAGTTGCCCAGCCCAAGCTTGAATTTGTGATCCTCCCGCCTCAGCCCCACAGAGTGCTGGAATTACAGGTGTGCACCAGCAACTCCAACTCATGCCCTAGTTTTTACTATTCTCCTCATCTCTATCACCTCTTCTTTGGGATGGGGTCCTGTCTTGTGGGTCACCTGTACATTCTCCTATGTGATATAAGTTCTGAGTGATGAGCAATGAAAAAGTAACTCCCAGGAAGAGTTGATCTAAGAACATCACCAAGCGGTGAAAATACTGATTTTTATTTTATTTTATTTTTATTTTATTTTTTATTTTTTTTGGCTTTTTCATTTTTATCGGTACCGGGGATCGAACTCACGACCGCCTGCTTGCAAGGCAGGTGCTTATGCCGCTGAGCTAAATCCCCAGCCCCAAAATACTGATTTTTAGAAACCTGGAGAGTGGGGAGCAGAATAGTTTGGGGAATAATAGCTTCCGCGAATAACAGCTACAGATATGATAGAAAACATTAAGATGATTAAATTACTAGCCACACTTTTAATTTACTAAATAACAAAAGTCTACTCATTTTCAATTAATGTTTTTATACTAGAAGTTTATTCCTCTAAATAGAATTCTATGTAAAAACTGGACCAGTGAGGATCTTAGATTTTGGGGGCAACTAAAAAGTATGATTTGTTCTAGTAATTTAATATCTTCCATTTCTGGAAAAAGAAAACAAGTAAGCCACCAGTTAATGCTTTTTGCTGTTGAGAGCAGAACGTAGTGACAAGATGGGAGCAGGGTGGTCAATTCACTGGATGCTCCTGCAGCAGACCTGACAAGATACGACGGTGGCTTGGATTAGGCTGATGACAACTGAGACAGAAGAGATGGTCCCATCTGAAGCATGCACTCTTTAAGGAGTAGAACATCATGGTGCATCTGTTGTAGATGCTGAGATCAGAGACAAGGTTGGGAACAGTCCCCTCGGAGGATAGGATGAGGGAGATCTTGGAAGATGAAGCTGCAGTGGGTTACGGTGCTAAGATCCACTGACACTTGGGATGAAGAGTTTATGGTAGGAACAAACTACAGAGCTGTGTGGTTTTACCCATCAAATAGAAGTAACAGTCTAAAAGATGAGACAGCAAAGGGTCTGAAGCGATGAACTGACCCTAAGAGAAGACATGAATATGACAAGGGCTGACAGGTGGGGAGAAAGTAGGCCAAAAAAGCTAGGGTCAGGTTTAGTGCAAAGAATGGAGCAAATGCCTGGGAAAGGAGACAGCATGCACAGAGGGAGACACTTATGAAACCTGCTTCGGAAATCGAGCAGGTGGTGACAAGAATGAGCATGAGCCCCAGGAGCATGTGGTGACATGCAGCAGGGACAAGGCTGGCAGATGAAGAATGTGGATGGGAGGTTAACACATACTCTGGCAATGTTTCTGTCAGTAATGAAACAGCTCTTTGCACTCCAATTTTATCACTGCCAGTGTCAGCCTTGAATTGGGAGCTGAATGCCACGTACTCAATCTCCAAAATAGATGATGTGCTGCAGTCCAGCAGGAATTGTGTGTGATTTCAGGATGAACTGTAATGTCTGATGAGCTGAGGCTGGGGCTTCTTTATGAATGAATGAATACACACACACCCCTAGAGATACTTCATATAAAATATAAATATAAAATAATCACATAATTAACCAGTTAGCCACTTAGCAGTACGTAGCTTACCTCGCCTCGGTCTCCAAACATGGAGTCTGGAGGTTTGGGGAGTTGCTGTCCACTGATCACTTTTAGGATGAGCTGCTTTTTGGGGTTGGCAGGAAGTGGATCACCAGAGAACGGGTTGAAAGTACCTGGGCCAATAAAGCAGAGGTTGGAAAGATGGGAGGAAAACACATACACACCACAGTTTAAGCTTGCAAAACACATAGACAACAAATGCTGATCATTACAGTGCTTCACAGTGCAAAGGAATTATCATATAACTATCAGAGTAGCTTTTGCCAGAAGGCAAGACCAACTGGCATTTCTATAGCTGTGCTTTTCATTAAAATCTGCATTCCCAAAGGCCAGGAAATGGGACAATTTAAAGCAAGTGTCTGCAATGGAACTGCAGCATGGATGAGAAAAACAATTTTATTTGAAACCCAGCAGTATAAGAAAGGAAGCACTTGTGTCAAATTCAACTGATTTTCTACTCTAAGCTATCTCAGGTATTAAAAAAAATACATGAGAAACAAAAAGAAGGCCTGATATTCTAATCTGCTTGTTTTTGTGGGGTTTTTTCTTTCTTGCAGAGTAAAGATTGGACCCAGGGTCTTCTGCATAGTAGGCAAGTACTCTACCACTCACTACGTCCCTAGCCCTAGGTTTAAAATTAAGTAAATACCAGAGCAAGAAAATATGCAAAGCACAAAATCCTGAGGACATATCTGCCAACATTTTATTACTTAGTTGTTATAAATCTAATTTGGAAAATTTTAAAGAATTTTAATGAGCAGAATAAAAAGAAAGTGTTGTTTTAGTAACACTATATTATCCTTTCTTTTTGGTTAGCACTGTTTTGCTATTGTGTTATATTAACAAAAATGGTTCAGTAAAACCTATTATTTCAGGTGGAATATAATTTTGCCTGCTGGCCTTACACTCACAATCCCTAAGAGTTTCTGAAAGATAAGGCTCAGAGCATAGCTGGCAGCCCAACTTAGAAATAATGACCAATAATTAACATATCAGAGACTGACAGTCTGCTACTCGTATCACTCTTGTTAACCTCAAGAAATATAATCTAAACATCATTCTACACCAATGTAGTTGTGACAAGAGTTCTTATTTACTACTAAATCCCTCAATCTGCTTGTGTTGTTGCTCTTGGGCTTGTAATTAAACCCACAGCCTCCTGCATGCTAGACAAGTCCTCTGCCACTGAGCTACACCACTCCAGCCCATAAACTATCCTTAAAAAAATTCATCCTGTATATGGAGGTTTCTCAAAAAACTAGAAGTGAAACTACTTGGATTATATAAGAAGTAACAGAAATCAGTACGTCAAAAAAAATCTGCTCATATATATATATATTACAGACCTATTCATAATAGGTAAGAAACAGAAACAACTGAAGTTTTCATCAAATTTTGAATTAATAAAGCAAATGTGGCATGTATTTGCAGTGAAATATTATTCAGTCACAAAAAGTATGGAATTCCATTATTATAACAGCATGGGTAGAAATGGAGGACATTAAGAGAAATAAAGCACAGAAAAACAAATACCACATGGTCTTATGTGTGGAAGCTAAAAGAACTGGTCTCAGTGAAGTAGAGAATGGAAGATTGGTACCTAGTCTGTGGGGGAGGGCAGGATGGACACACAGTAGTTCATGATACAAAGATAGAGATGGATAGGACGAGTAACTCCTAATATTCCATGTAGCCCAGTAGGATGATCATGGTTTACGACAATTAAATTAATATTTCAAATAGCTAGTAGAGAGGATTTCAAATGTTTCACACACATGCAAACACAAAAGATATGTCTCAGATTATTCTGATTTGATCATGGCACCTTGTATACATGTATATCTATACCCATAAGTATGTACAACTACTAGGTGTCAATAATAAAAGCAAAATAAATTTTTAAATTATGCTGCAAAACACTGGGATATCACAAAGATATCTTTAAATAGAGTTCATCCCACTCAGAAAAATGACTATGGAACTTACCTTTGCACATTTGCTGGGGTTTGAGGACGTAGCCACAATTGCCATTAGCCTTGAATTTAGCTCGGTTTAATTGCATCATTCGTCCTTCAGACTGATAGTTCAGTGCCACTGTCCAAGTAGGAAATTTGAGAGAATTAGGCAGGATAGCAAAGCAGACTCAGAACACACAGAGCACCACTGTTTTCAGAGGCTTACGCACCAAGCTGGCATCCTGTGTTCCAGTATGGCAGAGGGTTAAAGTTACTGGAATCTATGCGGTAGGCAGAGGGGTAAATCCTTGTGAGTTGCTTTTGGTTATAAATCATGAATTGCTCTGATTTCTGCTGAACCACTTGATGTGCTCTTGTTTCACTGAAGGATAACACATTTCCTGTGGTGCCTAGCAGTTTGTAATAAAGAAAAAAGGAAAATGAGAACCTTTGCAAAGCAGCAACGGAAACACCCCCACCAGAGATTGTGTGATGTCATATACTATATACCAACAGCCAAAGGCAAAATGGAAGGGTATGTTCAACCTGTTAAATGAAAAATTTTAGACATATTAAATTGAACAGAGCTTAAGTGAGCAAGAAACAATTTGCAAATCAAGCTGCCCTCAAATCACAACAGATGTAGAGCATCTTCATCTCACCACATGGGCAGGTTACTGTTATAGTCAGAAAAAAGTGACATTCAGAAAACAAACCCTAAGTACAGACAGCCCAATTGTTTATTACTTGAACATGGTCTGAAGAGTTGGTTACTTGTGATTGGTTAAGATTCAACAACTTGGTACTCGTGTGGTATGTGTTACAAAAGTAGGTTACCTCTGTGTTATGTATCATATTTGGTTACAATTTATTATGTATAAAGAAATCTTTAGTTTGGACCAAACTTAAAATATACACCAAGACAGTTTTAGATCAAACAATTCCCTAAATCAAGGTAGAGATAACTTCTGGCCAAGAAAGAATCCCCAAAATTTCATTCTTAGAATTTTTTGCCAGGTTGAGGTCAAATCACAACTATGTAGTTGCTAAGACACCTTCCCATTTCTGGCTCCTATATTTTCCCCAGAATTCAATCATTCCACTAATTTGTGTCTATCTGGTTAGCATAGAAAATAGTAGAACTGTTATTTTCTAGGTTTATGACTCAAACAGAATACTTTTACCAAAGACATAGACAACTATGAATAAATAAAAGTATGTATAATAACTTATTATTGATAGCAGGAAGATAGCTATTGAAAATATTCATTTAAAAGGTATAGGTGTGAAACATATATTAACTAATAACATTTGGACTCTAATAAAGGAGAAAGACTTCAAAAAAGGAAAAATTGGGTTTTAAAGTTGATTTGAACGGAATTATGAAACCAATCAAAACTATGCAGAAGAAAGAAATAATAGAGGAAATATGTTCAAAATAACATTAAATAGAAATAAAGTTTCAGAAAAAAGGACAATTATCCATCCATCTAGGCTTATAAACTATGAGAAAAGCTGAGACATCTTAGTACAAAAAGCCTACACTTAGGGTTTCTGCTTGGAAAATCATAGTTGTCAAGGAAGCTGCAAGGTTAGGGATCACGAGGGAGCCTCCGAACACCTTACAGTCCACTGCTTTCTTGAATCCTACTTTTTGCACCATGTCAACAATGTCACTATCTTTGAACTGCTTCATCAAACAACCATATCCTATTCTCTAAATGACCATGCTTACTTCCTCTGGATTTGTCGGAAAAAATCAGCCCAGAAGAAGATTCAAACATGACTAGAGCTGCATTCTCACTCAGCCTGAACCCAAGCTGAGATATAGTTCAAAACCAAGATGGTGAACTGTAGTCTTGCTGAGCCAACTGGACCTGAGTCATATCTATACTGGACATGTTTAGTAGCACACATGGTCAGTCCCTCGGGGCTTTTGCTGTCCCCAGAGTTATACACCCTTAGATGGAGAATGCTAGCCAAAGCTAGGCATGGTGATGCAGACCTGTCATTCCAGCCCTGAGAGGTTAAGGGAGGAGGTCTCCAAATCCAAGCCCAACCCAATGACTCAGCAAGACCCTATCTCAAAACAAAGAAGGGGTGGGGGATGTAGCTCAGTGTGAAGGTTTTGGGGTTAATCACCAGTATCGTGCCCCCATCACCCACCAAAAAATAGTTGGCCAAATGATTCACAGTGCCACTTCTGAGCTGGAACTTGAAACAGTCAAAAATACAAAAGGAGAAAGCGAAATGATGCTTTAGTTTTAACCTGATAATTTCTCCAGTACAGACCCTTTAAAATACATACCAATAAATATTTTATTGACAGAATTTATTAACTTAGTTTATACATCTCAAGAAAACTAAAATTGAACTTATCTATAAATTTTAATAAGGAAAGTCTCAAACATAGGGAGAGATAATATAGTTTTTTTGACAAGTCAAATTTAGAACAAGTCACTCCATAATCAATACTTTTTTCTGTCCACATAAACATGTATACCATAGTATCCCTAAAATGACATTGCTTTTAAAGCACTTATGATTTATTGTACTAATGGTGTTATTTTAAGTTATGTATTCTTTCTCTACTTCTCCTTTGATGACTTAAAAAGACAAAAAGATCCAGTTGAAGTTTAAAATAATCAAGATTATGGTCTGTTAAGCTAGTGGGTTAACAGCTCTCAATGGTATGTATTAAAATATTTTCATTCTTTATGCCAAATCTACCTAAATTTCATTCAGCCACTCACTAAATTTATTTCTGAGCTGTGGACAGTAATTATAAAAATATAACTGCTGAGAATCTTAAGGTTATTCATATTCTCACATGTAGGTTGTAGGTTGTAAACTAACTGAAATTTTGTACACCTATCACTACTGGAAGAAAAAAATCAACACCAAGAGGAAGAAAGGAAATCTCTCTACAATTACAAAAAGATTCTCTTGGGCCTTGGCAGAGGACAAAGATCTGAACAGAATCCTGACTATTTGGGAGGATACACAACTCACCACAGTGTTGCTTCCTGTCACTGAGATGTGCTGAGAAACTTAGAGATTCTGTTTAATTTTATTTCTACGAAAATTAAAATGAGGTTGAAGCATCACATGACAATAGGTTATTTCAATAAGCATTTAGTAACTAAATAAAATAAAAGGGAAAAAGAGCAAGTAGCAGGAAAATCAAAGGTAAGAATGGCTGTGACCAGAATTTCTCAGCTCAGGGCAGCGACTGCAGCTGAAAAATAATGAGTCCTTACACTGAAATTTCTGCTCTTTTTTGTTAAATCTTAAATCTGTGGATTAAATTACTTTAATCAGTTTGCAAATAAAGGTAATTTCACTGCTTCCTTTCCTATATGTATCCTTTTTATTTTTCTCTTGTCTGTTTCCTCTGGCTAATGTTTCAAGTACTTAGTTGAATTAATATTGTGGTAATAGTAGGCATCCTCGTCTTGTTCTTGAGTTAGAGGAAATGCTTTCAGTTTCCCCCATTAATATGCTATTAGCTGTTGAGTTTGTCACAGCTCTTATCAAGTTTAGGTATGATTCTTCTGTATTTATTTTCTTCAGTGTTTTTATCATGAAGGGGCGTTGGATTTTTGTCAAAAGCCTGTTCTGCATGTTTTGGTAGAATCAGGTGTTTTTGTCCTTGCTTCTCGGGGTGGTACGTTATAGTTATTGGTTTATGTATGTTCAATCACCCTTGCACCTCTGGGATGAAACCCACTTGATCATGATGTATGATCCTTTTGATGATGCGTTTCATTTTATTTGCTAATATCTTCCAGAGGATTTTCACATTTATGTTCATTAAGGAGACTGGCCTGTAATTTTTTTTTTTTTCAGTTGAGCCTTTGGTTTTGGAGTCTGAATGATGCTGGCTTCCTGAAATAAGCTTAGTGGACAGGTTTTCAAAGCAGTTGTTAATGTTTTTTATTCTGGCAGTGTCCATAGTGATTTCAGCTTTTCCTTTCCTAGTTTCTGTGGGCTGAAGAGCGCTTCGAGCACTTTATTTTTGTTGTTGTTTGTTTGTTTGTTTGTTTTTGGGTTTTTTTGTCTTTTTCCTTTTTATCAGTACCGGGGATCGAACTCACGACTGCCTGCTTTGCAAGGCAGGCGCTTATGCCTCCGAGCTAATTCTCCAGCCCCTCACTTTCTGCTTGCCAGGTGGAATCGGGCAGCTCGGGAGTCACTGGGCGGGGCCAGATAGGCCCAAAGGGACTTCCCAGGGTGTTCGTGGGTGATGGGGGAGGACTGGGGCGGGCAGGGTGGGGGGGAATCTTACCAGTCTCCCAGCGAAGCGCCAAAGCTTCTGTGGGCTGGAGAGCACTGCCCGCACTTTCGGCTTGCCAGGCAAGATGCCAGCTTTTTCATTCCTAATTGCATTTCTTTTTTTGGTTAGATTGGCTGAGGCTTTGTCTAACGTATTTTTTAAAAAATACCTTTTAGATGTGATAATTCTTTGTATTGCTTTTATGGTCTTGTTTTCATTGATTTTTGCTCTGATCTTTATAATTTCTTTCTCTGTACTAGCTTTGTGCTTGGATTATTCTTGTTTTTCTAGGACCTTGAGGTGCACTGTCAGGTTATTTGGGCCTGCTCTGTTTTTGTAGACATTCACAGCTATAAACTTCCCTCACAGGACTGCTTTCACTGTATCCTATAAGTTCTAGTTTATTGTACTGGCATTATCATTTCATCCTACAAAGTGTCTTGTTCCATGATTCTTTTTTCTGTACCCCATTGTTTAGTTTCCATGTGTTTGTTTGTGTGTATATATATATATATATATATATATATATTTTTTTTTTTTTTTTTTTTTTTTTTTTTTTGAGACAAGGCCTTGCCACGAGTTCAAACCAGCCTTGAATTCACTGTCTAGCCCAGGCTGGGCTTACTCATTGTGATCCTCCTTCCTAGCCTCCCAAGTGCTAGGGTTAGAGGGATGTGCCACTATGCCCAGCATGTGTCTGTATAATTTCTGTTTTCTTTGGTAAGCCTGGCTGGTCTTGAACACCCAGAAATCCTCCTGCATCAGCCTCCCAAGTGCTGGGATTACAGGTGTGTACTAGCATACTAGCCTATCCTTTGATTTTTGGTCCATGAGTTTCTTTTTGGATTAAATGTGATTCTCTTATACAGAACGCCATTGGATTTTGTTTCTTGGTTCACTGTGCCAGTCTGTGTCCCTTGACTGGGGAATTGAAACCATTTACAATAATTGAGAGTTATAACTGATCGGTATTGACTTATTCCTTATTTTCCTTTTGCTGACTCCCTATCTTTCCCTTCTACTTAATTGCTTTCTCGAGTTGGTATATTTATTCTTTTTTTTTTCCTTAAGTTGGTATATTTATTCTATTAGACCTTTTGTCATTGCTAATTTCATTGTCTCTTGCTAGCATATACTTGAGAATTGTTTGGAGTGCTGGATTGTGGTCATAAATTTCTTTAGGTGGTGTTTATCATGAAAGTATTTTATTTTCCATTAATTTTGAAATATAGTTTTGCAGCATACATCAGCCTGGGTTGGAAATTGTTTTCTTTTGGGGCTTGAAACACTCTGCTGAAGCTCTCCTTGACTTGAGGTTTTGTGTTGAGAAGTCTGCTGTACTCCTAGTGGGTTTTCTTTTGTATGCAATCTTTTGTTTTTTTCTAATCTCTTTTAAGATTCTGCTGTTGTATTGGACTTCTGGGATTTTACTGTGATGTGCTTTCTGATGGTGGCTATGTGGAATTCTTTATGTCTCAGTTATCTATATGTTAGATACTTTTACCCTATTTGGTAAGTTTTTGATTATTATTTCAGTAAAAAGATTTTTCATGCCAAAATGAGAGAAAGAAAGAAGAAAGAATTTAATTAAAGTCAAAGCTTACAACGAGAAAGTCTGAGGCTTTCCAGAGTGTTATTTTAGCCAATGAATTTCTTTTTTTCTTCTCATCATTCAAACTTGGAAAGGCCATCTGTGACTGCTCTTTAAACCAGGACAAGCATTGGTAGACACTACTCTGATGCATTTGTCTTTTTATAATAATAAAATCCTCTTCCAGCCTGTAGGACATATCTCTGGCCTTAAGGCAATCAGGCAATCACCATGACCAAGACCTCCCTCCATGTGAGCTGAGAATTCTATCAGCAATCATTTCCTGACACTCGGATGGATTCTACACACCCCTACAAATATGCAGTGATAATCGGATTAACAAAAATTATTAATGATTGACAAAGAGAGGTCAAGAAAGTTTACTCAAAAAGGGGGGAAAACATTCGGTCCATACCATCATCCACGATGTCCTGGGCTGCCACAGAGTTAGTGTACACAACCAGATCAGAGAGCTCTCGGCAAAGCTTCATGGTTTTCCTCCGGCGGCCCAACCTGTGAAGCACACATCCAGAGTTCATGGCATTTTAGAGTTGGAAGAGGATGGAACTTTTGGTAGTCTTCCCTTATATCTAAGATAACAAATAAATGATCTGCCCTGGGTCTTAATGGAGCCGGGACAGACCCGGGCATGATTAGCTTAGTACTCTTTCCATCATGTCGCCCTTCTCATGTAGTCTGAGTCCCTGCTCTACCAGGAGTCACAGTTACCCTCACGCACTTTTAAGTTCCACTGTGAAGGGCTGGATTCCCACTGTCACTCAACCAGGGAGAAATATCAGAGAGCAGAACCTACACTAAAAACAATTAGAAACATGCATGATGGGTCACAAGAATTTTATACCCAAAGAAAATGTATCAGTTTCCACAGTGAATATATCTTAAAGTTGTGATTGCAAGTGTTTTTATTTTCTTTTTTATACTTGTGCTGTATTCCCAACTTTCTTAAAATGGAGATGCATTACATTAGCTAATACTTCTTGCTCTGATATTGTGTATGTTCTCTCCTACACTCCTAAGTTCACTTCTACAATATTACAAATTCTGCCATTTCTCCTTATAACATTACAGTCCCCCACAGACTATCACTTTCCCTCACGTGCACATCTTCTCCAGTGTGAAAATATCTCATTTTTTAAAAACTCCAGTCTTCACTGATAAACCAATACAAAGGCCAATAAGTAAAAGAAAATTGTTTAATATTATTAGTCATTAGGGGAATGCAAATCCAAACTCTAATGAGACAGCATGTCATAGCCCAGGCTGGCCATGACCAAACTGCAGATAATAAAGAGTATTATCAAGAATAAGAAGAAACTGGAACTCTCACACATGGGTAGAAAGTATAAAATGGCACAACTGCTCTGAAAAAAAAAAAAGGCAGTTTCTCTAAAAGTTACCTCATTTCCCAGCAATTCCACTTCAATATACCCAGAGGAATAAAAAAACATACATCCACATAAAAGCTTATACAACAATGTTCATAGCAGTATTGTTCTCTCTCGTTCTCTCTCTCTCTCTCTCTCTCTCTCTCTCTCTCTCTTTCTCTCTCTCTCTCTCTCATAACAGGAATTGAACTCATGATCTCATACTTGCTAGGCAGGCACTGTGCCTCAGAACTACACCCCTGGCCCAGCAGCATTGTTCTTAATACACAAAAAGTGCAAACATCCTAACATCCTTCAGCTAACGAACAGCTATATAAATGCAATATATCCATACATTGGATTATTCAGCAATAAAAGGAAATGAAATGCTGATAAATGCAACAATACAGATGAATCTTGAGAGGGTTAGATTAAGTGAAAAAAGATACTGGCAAATCCACAGAGACAGTGGTGCCCTGAGACGGAGAAAGGGTTAGGGGACTGCTAATAGGTACTGATTTCCTTCTAGAGGTGATGAAAGTGTCAGATAGTGGTAATAGAGAAACTATTTGCTCAATGAAAGCATGAGTACCTATTGGAGATAAAACAGTAAACAAATTAGGCAAAATCCCCACCATAATGGTATTTAAAAAGAATTAAGGACAAAATGTACTAACAGTTCATTTTGCTAAGAAAGGAAGCATGAAAACAGACATGTATAAAAATCAGTTGAAACCCAAACATGGTGGTGCATGCTTGTAACCCCAGAACTCCGGGAGGCTGAAGCATGAGCATTCCAAGTTCAAGCCCAGCCCTGGCAACATAGCAAGACATTGTTTCAAAATAAAAAATTAAAAAAGGGCTGGGCTCAGTGCAAAAGCCCTGGGTTCCTTTCCCAGTACTCTAATGAACAAACAAACATCATTGGGAAGAAAGAATGCTTGTTCACTCTTTATTATATAAGAAGTTCTAGAGCCATTGGTGAGAACTCAGTTTTGTGGAGGCTAAAAATTACAAAGCAATGTGAAGTCATGCTTAAAAATTAAAGGTAAAATCCCAAAATACCAATACAAGATTCTGCATGAAGTTAGCTCTTTTTGGTCGTCATCCTAGGAGAAGACTGAGTGAGTGAAGACCCAAAGGACACCATCATAGATGTCCAGGCTCTAGTAGCTGCTATGGAAAATCTATAACTGACTCAGGAGCAGCATGCAACACGATTTCATGTCACAGCTGCAGTGACGCCTTATTTGAATATGTTCCAACTAAGGTGGCTTTCCATACTCTCCTCCCCTGGCTGTCTGTCTCAGTCCTACACTGGCTTAAAAACATGTATAGTAGCAGTCTTCTGGAAGATGATTATATTTTTCCTTTTTCTGTACTGTAGTTAACGGTATACAACCACATATATCTACTCTGCTCCTGTTAATTAGCTACTATATTATGCATAAATATGCCTTTGGATTTCAAATATAAAGTATAACTGAACATTGAAGGCTAATTCCTACAGGATGCCTACTTTTCAAATTTCACTTAACTTCATCTTTCAAAAAAGACATACAGACATGTAAATGTTCCTTTATCTATAATGTCATTTACATTTCTTTATGAGATTTACAGTATAAACTGCCAGAAAATCGTATATCAGATTATGTGTCACAGTTTAGGCTCTGCAAATGTGATCATTATTTATTTGCTTATTTATATATTAGTACACGTTTATAACACGTAATGATTACTTTCATCGTGGGGAGTTGGTACCCATACGTAACTCATCTTAACTCTTTTTACTGGTCTTTCCTCTCTCTAATTCCCTCCCTCTATCTCTTGGTCCCTTTCTCAATTTTACAAATCATCACAAAAACTGCTGATACCAAAAAATATGTTTTGAAGCACTTATTTAATTGGGTTGGGGCTCATATGCTAATTAGTTTAATTTCTTTAATTCTTATAATGATCCTAAGAAGTACATAGAAAAAAGGAGCTTAACTTGCTCCGTGTTAAGGTTAGTAAGTAGAAGGATAAAACTCTGAAATCTGGCTGATTGCAATTCCCTGGCTCCTAATGCGCGCTTAGCACTTAGCTTTCCCTTTAGTCTTTGCTGTCCGTTATCTCTGCATTCACGTGGCCCCTCTTTCTTCTCTGAATGTTAAGTTTTACTTGGCAACTGCTACAGCTAGCATTTATTAAGGGTCTCATTGTGTGCTAGGCACAGTGCTAAATTCCCTACGGAGATTGTTTCATAGCTAATCTTCAAGTTTCACTTGGGGACCCTACCTTGTGATTCACACGACTAAAACAGCCAGCATGACAGGAATGGAGAGGTCCAGAGAGCCTGAGAAAGAACCATAGAGATGCTCTCCTACCTGCACAGCTGGCCACTCTCCTTGCCAGGATTCTGCTGTGCGTCTTCCTCGTCATCAGCACTGCAGGATTTAGAACGTGACTTTGTGGTTTTCTGCAGGAAAGATCGCAGTCAACATGATAAACTCATCATCATATCAGGTATATCCACAGCATTCAGTGGACTAACATGAAGGGGGAAAATTTGACCAAATATAGCAGCTTGCTTTACCATTAAATAACAAACATGTTTATGGTCACACTTTCATTAAAATATTAATAGCAAATTTAAGGTTTCATGATCAGAACCTAATTTCTAAGCTATAAAAATTGAATTCTTAGAAAAACTTTACTAGTCATGCATGTTGAAAGTCTTTGCAAGAGTAAAGGTCAAAGTTGTAGGATCTAATTAAACAATTATAAGGGGGAAATGTCCTTTTGTATAGGAATATCACTGTTGATTTATGAATAATAAAAGGCAGATTTGTTCTTATTTTAATTTAAAAATATCTACCATTCCCATCTTTGATCAGTATGCACTCAAATAACCATTTAAATCAAACTGCTCTTTTGAGATTATGATCCATTTTTATTCCCTGTTGGGGATAATGAAAATCGATAGCCACAGGACTAAAGCTAATAAGCCTGTTAACTTAACTACACAGGTTAGCTGTTACACACAAAATCTTTTTGGCATGATGTGGTTTCATCTCCACCAGGTCAGAGGTTGCCCCAATATTTAGGCAGCACAAAACAATATAAATGATGGGGAGGGACTCCAGTAGTTACAGAAAACATTGCCACCAAAAATACAGCTTCTACCAACAAAACTCAGATCTTGAGACAGAGTTCCCAGACATCTGAGGAGTGTGGCTTAGGGAAAGAAAAAAAGAAACTCTTATTCCCATAGTACCATGTGATCGTATGAACTTCTAGATGTTCTCAAACACAACGACAACGACAACAACAACAAAAGTAAACTGTGTCTTGGGAATAAACAGACTTAACTCCCTGGTAGACTAACAGCAAAGTGCTAGCGTAGTCTGGACCCTCTCCACAATTGTTTGTGCCCTGGGAACCTCAGCACACACGGTATGGGAGCCCAGGTCCAACCCCTATTCCAGCTCGGCCTTTCCCTAGGCTGCAAGTTGGCTGACTTCTTCTGCATCCTACCGAGCTTTTTAAGTGGTGACAACATCTACTTCAACAAATTATCACTGCGACAGTTCGATGAGATGACATAGAAAGTCATTTGATAATCTACATGATATTACTTTCCAAAGTAAAGTATCAGTGTTTATTAAAATAATATATAAATTTATAGACAGCTGTTTATTCTTATGACTGGAGGCTTCTGTTTCAAAATCAGAAGCATTTTGGTCCCAACATGATACTATGAGTGGCAAATTCCACTTGTTAGGGTATTTTGTTTTGTGACAAGTCGGAGTGATAGCACACACTAAAAACATGGCATAAAATTACTATCTATATATATATACAAATATATTACACATGAATTTCATGGTTAGACTTGGGTCTCACCCCTAAAATATCTTATTATATATACACAAAATTTAAAAATAATGTCTCAAAATTTAAAAATAATTTAAAACGTTCTAGCTCCAAGCATTTCAGATAAGGATATCCAATTTGTACGTAGTAATTTGAGGTATCAAAATAAATTTATCATTTGTTTTAGATAGTGCTGAGGATTGAACTCAGGGCTTTGTGCATGCTAGGTTATCACTCCGCCACTGAGCTACATACCTAACCCAAAAATCTTTTTAAAGTTCACTTTTTATTATAAAATATAAAAAACGAATTATCAGTGACAGATACCATTTGGAGAAGTGATGTAATTTCTGCACATACAGTTTTGACACATCACATCATGGTGATTGTAACATAAAATTGGTTTTATTTCATTTTTTATTTTTAATGTTTTGTATGTTTGATCTTCAGGTAGATCATCTTTTAATGGTAGCCCATTAAAATGGTAGCCCATCTTTTAATGGTAGCCCCCGGATGAATCATGGTTTACATTAGCAGTCCTTAGCATACATATTTTGTTTGTTTTCAATTATTTATTGTCATGACTAATTTTCCCAGACTATTAATAAGTTATCTCCCCGATAAGTGTGAAATTTCGAACACAACATCCCTTACAACCGGAGAAATAGTATCACAAGAACCTCATGCATAATGTAAAGTTCATCATCCAATAACTCATTTCTTGCAAAAATTTTTATATTTTTATTGAAAATATTTGAACACCTATACCAGTCATACATCTACAAAACAACAACTTTCACAAAGCAAAGCCACCCAAATGAGGAGATGGAATATAGTCTGTCCCCAAGAAGCCCTGATTTTCCCATTCTTCATGGTTGCCTTCCCCCTAAAAGTAACATCTAACCTAAAGAGTTTTTGTGAAAGTTCTTTTTTTTCATAGATTTTTTTGGGAGTCAATTGGTTTTAAATTTCATGTAAATGGAATCAAACTATATATATACTTCCTTGATTCTGAGTTATTTTGTTCAACATTATAACAAGCATCATGTTACTATATATAGTTGCAGTTGTTGTCCTTTCCATGACTGTTAAATATCCTCTTCTGTGACTATCTCACAACTTTAGATGGACAATTGGCCTATTTTTACTAATGTTATTACAAATAATGTCACTATAAAAGTTGTTGCTTTTATCATTTGACAGAACTCTCACGGTGGGACTGCTATGTTGTGATACATAGCACAGCTTAAAACATCCTGAGAAACAGTGTGCCACAGTGCTTTCACAAATGCACACACCCGTGAGCAGAGACGAGGTCAAGGGCCTCAACACACTCACTAATATGGTTTTTGTAGTCTTTTATGCTACCTGTTGTGGTGAGTGTGGGCCTCACCACTGACACATGCATCTCCCACATGGCTGAGAAGGGTAAGTCCATCTCTTTAGGAATTTGAATATAGCCTTTCATGAAGTACCCACTGAAGCCTTTTATCCATTTTTTAGAAATTACATTGTTTGTCTTTTTATGGATTTGGAGAAACTACATATTCAGGATAGAAATACTTTCCTGAATAGCATATTTAATAATATTATTTCCTAGTATACAATTTGCTTTTTGATACTTTGAATAAATAGAAGTTCTTATGGTTTAAAGTAGTTTAAATTTCAATCTTTATATTTTTTAAAGTTCTGTTTAAGAAATCTTCAGCTGTACCAAGGTCACCAACTGTTCTCCTGTTACCTTTCAGAATCCTTAAATTAACTAGATTACCACTCTACATATTTATCACTCAATTCATACCTTGTGTTTTCCAAAGTTGGTCATGAGGGATCGTCCATGTGATTTCTTTTCACTTTCCTTCATGTCTGGAGTCTGAGTAAATAAAGGCATCAATATAAGTACTTCCCCTCTTTTGATTTTTCTTATCTCTGGTGAGCAGGCAGAGGTACCTTCCTCCTCTTTACCCTGCTCACTTCCTCTTCTGCCACCCCCTTTAGGTGTACAGAAAAGGATGCCTGGCTCCAGCCAGGACAGAGCTGCTGCTGCCCACCTCTTCCCAAGGCTGAGGCCACAGGCTCTGAGCAAGCCCTGGCCTGCTGTCCATTACAGTGCCTGGTCACCAGTGCTTGTCCCACAACGTAGGATGTGTGCTTTTCAATGTACTAAGACGATAAATCATTTTCAGTTACAAAGAGATTTAATTCTGGGAACATGACACAGACACTAAAAAACAATTTTGTTGAATAAAACAAACATTGAATACTTGCCATTTACGACTTTAAAACATTAAAAATAAATAAAACCCAAGCCTGTCTGTGAGGTAAAAAGGCAGTTGTTGTATGTTTAAACCACAGCAAAATTTATCTATGCATTGAAATAATTCCCTCACTGGTGATCACTATGAAATGGTAGTATTGTGTTCTCTGATGTTTTCCTCAGTTCATTTTCCAGTTTAAAGGTAATGAGCCAGTTGTCCTTGCTTGAGTCTAAACCTCATTAGTGTATAAAAAATCACTTTAAAAGGGTATAGAAACCTATCTAGAAACATATCAGACAGTTTATTGTTAATGATATGGTCCATGAGGAGGCCAGTTAGCCCTAATCATCTAGAACTCCAGCTAAACAGAGAAGAAACAAAGATAATCACATGAATGGAGTGAACACGAGTTAACAAAACTGGGGAAGGGCACCAGCTACATCCATACACACTGAACAAAGTTCAGTTCTCGGGAAGAAAGTGAGAAGAATATGAGAACTGTTTGGGGAAAGGGTAATCTAAAAAACACTGATGGAGCAAGGGTGATGTTGATTAGGTGATGCTTGGCTTATGTATGTTCATTGCCTTTGAAGACCAAATAATGCTGATGAGTAACTTCATAATCTCTGAAATTAAGACCATAAGAACATATGGCCATAAAACAGATACTTCTTTTCAAGTTAGGAGACCCAATTCTGCCTCTACATAGCTACATATTCTTTGGTGAATTGCTTCTTTTGACTTCAATTTTCTTATCCACGAATTGGATAAATTGAACAAGTATGTGACTTCCTTTCTACCTCTAATATTTCATTCATTCATAGAAGGACTATGGCTTTTATTATTTAAAATGGGATATTTTTAAATGTGAAATGGGTACTTTTATAAATTACAACAGGAAAACAAGTATAAAGCAGGACTATCAAATTGACATATTGTCAAATTGAAATATAGTGTCACTCACTTTAATAGGCACTGACTATATCTGAGGATACTGCTAAGTGCATTATATATTCTCATTTAATTTATATAATCATTTCTGGAGAGAAGAATCATTAAAATCTCAATTTCACAGAAAATAAAAAATAAAGTGTTGTGAAGTTAGATGAAATGCCTAAAGCTACAAACTAATTGGTAATGAAATCAGAGATTCTATCTGGCTCCAAATCTTTCTGATTTCCTCTTGCCCCAACTTCTTCTACCCCATGCCTCATCTTTACACAGGAGACAGATAACTACAAATGTCCAGGTCCAACTGTGATCTCTCCCTAAACATCAGCGCTGTGTCTTTCATTGATGTCATGGAAATGACACTGCCATAGGAATTTGACGAGTGTACAAGGGCAGAGCAAACAAGAGAACTATGAGCTCCACTATCACGGGTTACAGTCTAGTGGGGAGGAAAATCTCAGCACTGCAAGACAGTAAAAGCTGCAGAGGAAAGCTCAGGGCACCATGAAATGGCCAACTTAAGAATTGCGGAGGACTTCTAAGAGGACTGGTACAAATGCGGAAGCCTACAGATAACTGGATACGATCTATGCAAACTGAGGAAGAGGAAGTGTGTTTCAGCTAAGGAAACCGCAAATAAAAAGGCCAAGTAGTTGGAGCATGATGCCCTTGTAGGAAATGAAGGAGGTGGGTGCCACTTGTTTGTATTTACACATGGCCACCAGTGAGAGAGTCAAGGTCACAAACACATGCTAATTAAACAGCATGGGACAGGGACTGAAAAGAGAACTTTATGGTCTACATCTTTGAATTTGACTTTAGCCTATAAACTATGAGAAGTTTTTAAATAGCTAAAACAAGAGAATGACAGAACAGATGCACATTTTTGAACTACCACTATCGTATGGTAGTGGTATAAACAAGGGGGGGGGGGTGAGGAGTAGGCCCAGCATATTGAGAGTTGGAAGAGCTGAGTTAGGGCTCCTTATGGTAACCCAGCAGCAGGAGTTCAGATATTAAAAAGGAGCATACTCAAGAACTCCTTCTTATGTGTATCTCAGCTCTTCCAGGAGGGAGGAAGGAGGGTTTCATTATTATTCTTTAGGGCTCTCCAGGAAAAAGACAGTACAAGTAGAACTCAATCCTGCATTGCTGAATTCTAATCCAACAAGGGAAGAGCTAAAGTGACGCTGCCCTCGGCCACACTCAGCTCATTCTCAGCCTGAGACTTGAGTACACATATTCTACCTGGCACAGATATACTCGCCTTGATAGTAACTTACCTTACTAGCCTGCAAACATAATCCATATTTTGAAAAGTAACGTAGCAGTGTTCAAAACCTCAATACTCTACATCCTACTTTATTAAAATCACAGGCTCCCTTTATTTTATACTAATATAAGTACATACTTTTTGTAACCCAGATTTAAGACAAAACAAAAATAAAAGCATACAGGTTTTGTTTTACCATATCTCTGAAATTTGAGGTTGCTCACCATTTTACCTGATAATAAAATTACCCAGATATTTTCAATGAATAGCAAAAGGAAAGTGAGCTCAATTTGTTTTATCCTAACAATAAAGACCTGTGGCTGCTTACCGACAGGAACGATCTAGTATGGAGCAGCCTTCTCCAGAAGCATGTGGAGAAACAACCGGCCCAAGTCAGCCCAGGAGATTCACTAAGCAGAAGCAGAGGAAACCAGGGCAGCCTAACTGAATGCGACTTTACAGGATCTGCACGATATCTTGTTTCCTAGAAGGAGAGCAGGTTGCTTCTACTTTTCATTGCAATTTTAAGAAAGTCCAAAATTGTATTAAATTTTAAGAAAATCTAAAATTATATTGAAATTTAATAAGCTCCAAAATTACTGAGAAGTCCATAATACTACAACTGACCTTTTGATTTCTTCTTTAATACTCTATTGGCTTTTTTTTTTTGTACCAAGGATTGAACTCAGGACCTCATAATTGATTTCTTCTTTAATACTCTATTGGCTTTTTTTTTTTGTACCAAGGATTGAACTCAGGACCTCATACTTGTCAAGTAGGTGCTAAAGCTGCTGAGTTAAATCCTCAGTCTTTTTCTTGTACTATAAGATGAAATTACATATATTACAAGATGAAATTACCCTGGCACCAGCTCCAGGGGTAAATTTTCACTGGTACTAACAATACACTCGTTCTATACACTTGTGAAATTTATTTCAGGGAGAACAGTTACCCATGATTACCTTAGGGGTTGATTTATGAGCAAAGTTTCTAGTCAGGGCTAAGCATGGATTCTTTTTTATTAGTTGAGGGCAAATACACTATCTCATTGTCTGCTCATAGGACTGTCAACTATTGAGAAGAAAAATTAGAAAGAAAAAGTCTCTAATGTTAAGTTCACCCTGTAGATTAAGCCCATTCTGAAGCCTGATTGTCAAGTAAACTTGCCAGCTACCTAATCCAAAATATTTCTTCACTAAGCAATTCTAAATTAGGATTTCTATGTTTGAAACTAACTAGTTCTGAGGAACAGCTTAATGGTTGATTGGCACCAACCAATGCCAAGATATGATCTTTCTACCAAGAGTCTTGGTCTCTGGATGACAGACAATAACATCAAAGCAGGTTGCTATTAGCCATGCCAGTATCCACAAGGGTCTACTGTTATACAGAATAAGTGCTCTCAATATTCTACAATGATAACATTTAAAAATCCACTATCCCTCTTCCTTGGCCATTTGTGACACTTTTTTTTAGGAACCACAGTTAAAATCTCATCAAGAACCCCAAACATTGGTTCATTCTGGAAAATTTATGATCTTCCTAAGCTATGTACACTAAACTAAACCAGGAAAATAAGAGTTATTGAGACTGACTCATTCGTATCTTCAGAAATCTCCAGACGAGACGAAAAGACAGATTGAACAAATAATTGCAAGTATACAGAAAAATCCTCAGAAAACAGAAGACATGTCAGGTCACTGTGGACGGTGTAAAGGGAACAGCTAACGGAATTCAAAGATCCAGGCAGGACTCTTTGAAGACATTACATTGAAGCTGGAATTTCAAAGACTAGGGATTTGGCTAGAGAAGACACAGGAATGGAGTGTTCCAGGCAGAGGGAACAGACCGTGAGGAAGATCACGGTGTACGAAGATAACTGCGGCTGGAATGACAGTGGGGATAGTAGGACACGGAGACTGAGGGGAGCTGAGAGTGGAGAGAGAGGCAAAGATGGTCTTTTGCAGGTCCTTGGAAGTTTTGTTAAAAAGTTTACAATCTACCCAAAATTTTCTTCAGAAGCCACCGAAGAGTTTTGAACAGTGGAATGACAACCAGATTCTTAGTTTTTTAAAGAAAAATTGTGCTGATTTCCAAATACAGCTTAGACTGAAACAGGGGAAAGAGTAGATGTTTGTCTAGATTAGGATACAACTACGGGGAAGAAAAATGAAGAGAGAGGAGATGTACTTGGAAGGCGAAATCAGCAAGTCATGGAGGTTGCATCACGTGGAGAGGGAAGCAGGTGAAGTACACGGTGGGCTCGAGGCTCTTCTCTCACCTGAGCCCAGACACACTGGGCTTCATCCTGAAAGTCCCATTGGAGCAGTTTTCATGTCATTTTATCCCCCACCTACTGACTTGTAACTGTTTTTCCTGTCATTTTGGTAAGATATTTTCATTATAATAGCAATATAATGATAGAAATAAAAAAGTTAGAGAAGCATATTTACAAGTGACAAAAAGTTACAAAATATGAGGAAATTTTCATTTCCTTGTGCATGAATGAGCAGAGGAGGGAACTGTGTACCTGCTTCAGGTGTGCGTTTAAGCCTTCGTGTGTAGCCTTCAGGAGTGCTCGCACTGTGAAACTGTCAGGATCTTCTTTGTCTCGAATTTGAGATTCTTTTAATAGTGACTCCAGTTTTTTCCTTATGAAAGATTCTATCTGATGCTCAGTCGTCCCGTTATTCTGCAAAGAAGTAATGCAAATGATTCCTGTGAGAAACACACAATCAGGGAGAACACACCCTTTGATCAAGTCCCCTCCCATATTCATTGTACCATTTGTTCCTTGCCCCAATAAATCCAACAATGATTACTATTTATTAAGACCTCACTGTCTCCCAGCTGCTCTTCATGTGACCATTTTGTATTCCAAGAACCTTATAAAGTCTCATTAGGTTTCTGTTTCAGTGATGTAGAATCTGTAGATTAGAGAGATGCGTGAGTTGCTTGAGGTTATAAAGCTAATGAGTAAAGGAGACAGGATTCAAACTCAAGACTCCATGCCCAACCACTATGCTGCTTCATGCTTTCAACAGAGAAAAGGCCAGGGAAATTTTCTGGAGACTTAGGTCTCCTACCTGTAGTAGGTAAATTTGAGCAAAATATTCTATTTTTAAGAATTACTTCCTTTACTGAGGAGACAATCCAGAGCTGAGAATTATTCTGACATAAAGTTTCTGTTGTAGCTCCAATCCTATTACACAAGACAGAACACACTATTGACGTGTTATGATTTGTCATAGTAATTACTTGAATAGCACAACTCATTTCAAGGGTTTTGGACAACAAAACTATACCTATATCCAGATGATGATCATGTAATATTTAGGGAATTGGGGAACATAATTTCCTGGAAGCCTTGTTTAGCATAGCTGTTAGCCACATCACTCTGCTGAAACTAGTGGGCCTGGCTCTGGTACTGTGCCTCTGCTTTTCAATTGCTTCTACCTCTCCCCACATCCAGCTTCTCCACAAACTCTCCAACCTCTTACAAAAGACCAACACATCCAGCATGGAAACTTTAAGGCAAGGCCATTCAAAATTCAAAATAAATTCAAAATTTATTACTGAGAGGCCACTATATTTTAAAACTGCAGTCAAAAGTATTCCTTGCCTCATGCACTACAGAATAGACATTGTCTTGGGAGGCAAATAAATAGCATTAATTTCCCTGTACGTCTCTATCTGAGCTCTTGGGAGACCAGGTACATAATCTGAAAGGAATTTTTCCCCCCTGGGAAGCAGGTTTCATCAGTGGGCTTAAAATATTCAGTAAACTATGTCATAAACAAATATGCAGTCATCTGGTCTTTCTTCTTCCATTTATAAAGTACAGGCAGAATAGATACACAGTAGTATACTTCTCAAGGGTCCCAGGATTTGAGACTGACAACTGAGCACTGACTTTAGTATCAAGTCTCCAGCTGCAGTAGATCTGAGTTAGTTCTAACACGGAGTCCCCTGTCTTGCAAGCCAGGCACTGATACTTCCTCTCAGCTGTAAGCCCTAGACGGTGTCTTCTTTTTTCAATTTTTAAATTTTATTGGTATATTTTAGATACACATAATGCTAACATTCAGAGGAATTTGTACAAGTACACGATATATTTTGCTTCTTACTTTTTTCTGATTCTCCTTCCCTCTTCTCAACTCCTCTTCACGTCCTTATATATAAAAGCTTTGTTTCCAATTTTTCCCCTTCCATTCTCTTTCATTTTCTTGTACCTTCCATCATTTCCCTCTTACCCCTCCTTTGTTCTGTTTTCTGTTTGAAAATTTTCTTCACATTTCCAAATATCTATTATATATTTTGGTCTTTATTTACACTTTTAGTTTCTTGCACCAGAAAAATCATGCAATATTTATTTCACGTAAGAGTACTGCCTCAGGGGCTGGGGATTTACCTCAGTGGCATAAGCACCTGCCTTGCAAGCAGGCAGTCATGAGTTTGATCCCTGGTACCGACAAAAGGTTAAAAAAAAAAAAAGAGTACTGTCTCAAGTTGCATCCATTTAGCTAAAAATGTCTCAAGCTTTTCTTTCTTTATGGCTGAATAATACTCCACTGTATAAAAAACCCACATCTTCTTTCTGCATTCATCAGTTGGACCGTTTCCCAAATTTACCTAACACAAACTGTGCCACTATAAACACAGGTATGCAAGTGTCGTTGTGCTATGATGCTTTCACTTCTTTCAGAAAGATACCAAGAATGGGAATAGTGGGGTCAAATGCAACTTCTAGTTTTAGTTTTTTGATGTATCTCCATACTTATTTCCTCAGTGTCTGCACCCTTGATTTCCAATTTCATTGTACTACAATCTGATAATATGCTTGGGACCACTTGAGTTCCCTTGCACTTACTTACACATGTTCAGTGAGCTAGCAGGTGGTCTACTTTGGATGAAGTCCATGTGCAGCTGAGAAGAATGCGTTTTCTGTTGTTGTGGGGTGCTACACTCTGTAACACATCTACTAAGTTCATTTTTTCAAAGACTTGGTTCAGCTCTGATATTTCTTTGTTGATTTTTTGACTAGCTGATTTGTCTATTTGTGACAGAGGGATTTTAAGGTTCCCCATTACAATTATATCAGTTCTTCTTTGATTTTTTTAATGTCTATTAATATTCACTTTATATAGTTGGGTGTGCTAGTATTTTGTGCATATATATTTATGATTGTGCTATCTTGGATTTTTCCCTTAACAAGTGTGTAGTGACTTCTGTCTCTTTTTATCAGTCTTGACTTGAAGCTCACTTTGCCTGCAACTAGAATAGTTATTACTGCTTTTTTCTGGGTTCCCATTGCACAGAGTATTTATTTTTCATCTTTTGACTTTCAGTCTATGCATTTCTTTTTGAGTTAAGTGCATTTCTTGTATGCAGAATATTGTTGGATCTTGATTCTTGATCCATTCTGAAATCTGTTTCTTTTGATTGGTGAAATGAGATCATTTACATTTGTTGTTCTAACTGATGTGTGTTGACCTATCTTTGTCATATTATTTTCCTGTTGTTGGTTCCCTGTCTTTTCTCTCTGTTGAGTTCCTTGCTGTGCCTGATGGATTTATTCTATTGGGGTTCATGGAATTGCTGTCCTCATTGTCTTTTTCTGGTGTATCCTTCAGAACTTTTTGGAATGCCGCTTGGGTGGTCATAAATTTCTTTGGGTGATCTGTGCCATGTAACTATCTTATTTCTCCGTCAATCTTGAGAGATAATTTTGCAGGGTACATTAATCTGGAGGTTGTTGTCTTTTAGGGCTTGAAATGCTTCAGTTCTCCTTGACTTGAGGTTTTATTTGAGAAGTCTGCTGTGATTCTGATGGGTTTTCCATTATAGGTGATTAGTTTCTTTTCTCTAACATATTTTAGTATTCTGCTCTTGTGCTGAATTTCTGGAAGCTTGAGTCTGTTTTTTTTTTTTAACTTTTTTTTGTCTTTTTCTTTTTTCTCGGTACCAGGGATCGAACTCACGACTGCCTGCTTGCAAGGTAGGCGCTTATGCCATTGAGCTAAATCCCCAGCCCCGGAATCTTGATTCTTATAGCCCTTGGTTGAGTTTTTTTCAGATAATGGCCAGGTAGTGTTCTGCATGCCTCACTCATCTATGTGTCAAATTCTTTTTCCCTTTGTGGGAAGTTTTTTGTCATTATTTCTGTATCAAGGTTTTTATGTCATTTGTGCTATTTTCTGAGTTTTCATTGATTCCAATCAATCTTACTATATTTTTTAATTTTATTTTGAAAGTATACAACAGAACAAGTCAGAATAAAGGCAACTAAGATCGTACAGTGAAATTGGTACAGAACTTCACAGCAGGTTACTGTGATAATAGTAATAGGTATCACAGTATATTTTGTTATCTTTATAATAGTTGTTCTTTCAATCCCGTATATCAAAATGAGATGAAATATAGAATACTATAGAACTTGTCAAAACAGAATATTGAATAGAGCAGTACCATTAATCAGAAAAGAGCAAAACAGTAGTAAAAATATTTGCCTTCAAAGAAATGGTAGAAGGAAGTCCCCCTTATTTGCTATGGTCAACCTCCCAAGAGATGCTCAGATTTCTGGTTCCCATTTGCTAATGGGCGGGGGAGGGAGGGGAGAAGAAGGATAGGGGAAGTGGGATATTTGACTCTAGACCATGTAGCAGTAGGTTCACTATTGCTTAGCAGGGAGGCAGGATGGTCATTTGTTTTCACAGCGTCCTCAGTTTCAACATGGCGTGGATCTCAGGAGCTGCTGCTGGTTCTCCCCCTGGAAGGGCTGCAGTCAGCCAGACCACCACCGCTTACCAGGGAGGGGAGGTGCTTGCTTGGCTTCCCAGAGTCCTCAGTTCCAACATGGCGTGGATCTCAGGAAACACTGCTATTTCTCCCCCTGGAAGGGCTGCAGTCACCAATCTTATTCTTTTTTGCATCATCTAGCAGCTGTTGGTTTGGTTTTTCATGGTCTTTTGCTCTTTTAAAGAAAACTTCTTTTTTTTTGATTGGTAACTGTAATTCTGTCTTCTGTATCTGATGTTTTGTTCTCATAGTGGTTCATTCTGCTACATATGCTTTCAATGGAATTTTAAATCTATATATCTGTTTGAATCTGTTTCAAGGATTCTATTTTCTTTTCTATGTTGGGTTTTCACGGTTTCTATCATTTTCCTATGATCTTCTATTTTTTTTCTCCTGCGTCTGTTTTAGAGTCACTAATCATGTCTTTCATTGTGGTCACTATCTCTGTAGTTATCCAACTAATTGTTATTTCTGACTTTTTTCTTCTAGAGCCTCATTCATCTGCATTGTTACTTTTGCTGTTACCACTTCATAGATTCCAGGTGAGTGGCTTTCAAATTGGTCCACCTCATTGTCCCTGGGTTTGCCTTTGGTGAGCAGGAAGTATGAAGTTGTCTCTTGCTCCTATGTCTTCTGATTTATTTTTCTTTCTTTCTTTTTTTTTTTTTTTTTTTTTTTTTTTTTGGTACCGGGGATTGAACTCACAACCTCACACTGCCAGGCAGGTTCTTGTGCCACTGAGTTAAATCCCTGGCCCTGATTTTCTATTTTTTTCTTTTCCTAGGTTGATGCTTATAAATTGTTAATGGCAGGTAGCATTATTGCTAGTATTTACAACCCTTAGGAAATGACTACTTCTCAGAGATGTCTCGTAGGTATAGCTGGCTTTTGGGT